AATTGGGATCGATGACATGCATCAACCAAGTCAGCGAACCTGACTACCCGATCCCGTTAGTTGCCTTTTACGACAAGCATAGTCACCTTTTTACACGGCAAGCATGGGTTGCTGAAGACCGATTCTACCCAGGAATCTTCACGGGTCTGAAATTATGTAATCAATATGGATATTTATTATTTAAGTGATAATCTTCGGATAGACCATTCCAGTTGACCAGTTTGTAATTATCATGGCATTATTGATAAAATACCATAGGCAACATAAGTTAAGGTGTTGGCCTGTGAGTGTTTATCAATGAAAGAAAAATGCTGAATGATTGACAGACAATCATTGAAATATGAGAAGTGAATGATTGAGAAAAAATGATTTATATGGAAAGTGAAATAGATGATAGAAAAGGTCAAATCCCCATGAAGATCCGGGTTAGAATTTCAGCAACCCATGCTGGTCATAAGAGGTGGCTATGCTTGTCGTAAAAGGCGACTAACGGGATTGGATGGTCAGACTCACTGACTTGGTTGATGCATGTCATCGTATCCCAACTGCGAAGATCGATGCTCATAATGTCAATCTCTGGATTGTCTGGTCCAGACTTGATTTTACAGACCTCTGTCATACAGCTGGAGTATGTGTGGCGTAAAAAACAACAAACAAAGAAACTGGAATGGGTACTAACAAAACAATTAAAAAAACAATGGAAACAAGTAATGATGTACGACAAATGATGAAAGTAACAAAACATTTCAGGGAGGGAATGAGTTACTGGAATCGCTGAAGTAGGATGTGACAGAAGATGTTAATCAGTGAAACGATAACGCAATTTTTTTAGCAAATAATGAGAAAGAAAAAAAAGGCTGGTAGCTTGGTGAATTGTGTGTCATTGTACCCAACATGCAGCTTTGGATGTTGCTCATGATGTCAATCACTGGTTTGTCTGATCCAGTCTCCATTTCTTATTGTCTGCTGTCTTATAGCTTGAATAGTGATAAGTGTGGCGTTAAACAACCTGTAACTGAATATGATACTACCTCCTGCAGATTCTGTAGTTGTAGAATGTTTATCACCTTGTATTTAGTTCCACCACTCACCAGGGGCACGGGTGACCCAGTCGTCCAAGGCGCAACGATTCGCTATGCAGAGTTGCGTCCCTTGGGCACTCTAGAAACCTATGATTGTGGGTTCGAATCACGGTTCTCCCTGATTATGTTTCTAGGTTTGTCAGCACCATACCTGTGCTCGTGGGTTTCACCGAAGTGGTAAACGTCTGAGAACTTCATCACTTCGGGCTTTCCTCCCACATTAAGCTGACACACCATGATATAACTGGAATACTGTTAAAAGCGGCGTTAAACCCAACTCACTCACTCACTCCACCTCTCACCGACTCCATCATTACCGATATAGAGATAGGGACATTTCTGTTTGTCTGCTTATCCCTGTATGGGGAATGCAGCAAATTTTGTTTACTTTGTATTTCATAGAGATTGTCTGCATATTTATCAGTTGTGACACTAAGTTTAATGCATTGGATTATCGCATCGATAACACTTGCCATTACTATATCCGGTATACTGTATTTGATCAATGACATAATGCGTTTTGTATGTATGATAGAGCCAACATAGAGATGGTTATTCACAGGGTTTGTAATAACCAGACCTGTATTAAACCCCCTGCAGAGCTGATATGGCTTGTCTATGCATTTTCAGTGGGCGAACAATATCAGCCTGGGTGGTAGGAAATTGGAGTTGCGTCCCTCAGTTAAACTGCTCGGCTAGCTTTCCCGTGACATTGCCTTCCAAACAAGGTGAAAATGTATTCGATCACTTGCAAATAGATACATTTCACAATTTGATGTTATGGTATATGATAAAAAGGTTATTATATGGCCGTTTTCATATCATACCTCATATCAACCCAAGACGAAACAAAGACTGGTCAGCTCGGAGTCTGAGTGGGGTATCCATGTTAAACTGCATGGTATGTCAGTGGGTGGTGATCCCTATGAAACTGGCATACGTCTGGACGGGTACGGGGCGGTCGGGTAGCCTAGTGGTTAAAGCGTTCGCTCGTCACGCCGAAGACCCGGGTTCGATTCCCGACATGGGTACAATGTGTGAAGCCCATTTCTGGTGTCCCCCGCCGTGATATTGCTGGAATATTGCTAAAAGCGGCGTAAAACCATACTCACTCACTCACTCACTCTGGATGGGTACAACTAGGCACACCTTAGGGTTGGGATGGGTAACTTGGGTACTCGGGTCGGGTGGGTACTGAGTAGGACCCGGGTACCCACAGGACTACCTGGACCCGTAGTTAGTCATGTGATATATTGTTTAATGACAAAAAGTATCTAAAATTCTATGTTTAAACTACAAGTCACTAATGTTCGCAGTTCTACTACGCCCATTCCTTCTGACTGTTATATGTTTGAATAAAAATAAAACTTTAGTCAACTTCATTGTATTCACCAGATTGTTTTATACATGTATCTAAACACATTTTACCAGAGCTACGGTCATACTTTTCATAATCGGACAGTTTGTACCTATATCTTGAGACCTACAGCGGGTACCCCGTTAGGGTCGGGTAATAGGGGGGTGGGTACCCGGGTAGTAACTTTGGACTCGTCCCAGCCCTAGCACACACACATGCATGCAAGTCACTACACAGGTGGAATAATGTTGAATGAGACGTTAAGCCCAATTTCACCTCACCTGGGTCTCACCTAGATCTTACAAATTCCATGGCTTGCCCTAAGTTTGTTTAGGGTTAAGAGGAAATGTTGATGTGATTTCTGTTTAAACTCCATAGCTCATCCTTGCATCACAAACTTCAACATGGTTAAAGACAACAAAAGGTACATGTTGCTTTCGCAATGTCTTTGATTGTCATTTAGAAAAATACTACACAAATAGGAATAAAATGCTACAAATTATAAAAAAATTAACAAATAATATATAAAACCCAGTATTATCATTTGTCCCCAAGTATTTGAATAAACAATTTCATTGAGTTAAATATAAGCCTTAATCTGAAAAAATAAATTTACACTAGATTATCATATATTTGCCTTTCTGTTTGTCTTAATTTATAACAGCTGGTGTATCACAAGTTCTGTAAGCAGTGAAGTATAGCAGTGTCTGCATTCGAGTTTTCATTTCAAAATAGTTGATCCAATTAGCAAACAGGAAGTATGGACTTGGGCAAATTCTCTCTCTCGTATCGTCCCGGCACGTGTGTATAGCAGTCTGTTGTATGAGGAAGATAGCGTCAGAAACATTTTCAGTTTGACTGTTTGTTGTTAGCTTATGTCAACTCCGCTGAGACAATCGTGGGCGGCCTTCATACTACATTGTATATGTGATGGCAGACTTCCTATATCCATGGGGGAGAGTGAACACCTCCTGATTTTCCTTTTTTCGCCTTTGAAGGTAAATTGTTTTAACATTGCTGTTAATGAGAACAATGAAGTGCCCCAAGCCTGTCCCGTCATGGGTGATGTTTCAGATTTACACCCTTTTCAGGGGGGTTTGGAAATGTGTTGTAGATTTGAAAGGTAAGATGGATTGGGTGTGTTTTGTCTTGAGGTTTTGTGTTTGTTGTCGTCAGTGTTTTATGGGTTTTAGTAAGGCAGACATGTATTTGGTCTGTTTCAGGAGAGTTGCATTGTCTATCACTGATGGAAATGTGTTATTTTTATCAATATAGTTCAACTTTCTTTTGAAATTGTTTGAATATTTGTGGTTTTTTATGTCCTTGGTGAAAGTATTTTAATTCCCTTGTGTATTTGAATCTACCAGTGTGTTCAGTATCCCATTTTTATTTGTTTTGCGACATATTTGTAATAATTTACAATAGTGTTCCTCATATTTGTTAATTATTGAAATATGTGTTTTTAAAAGAATAAGTATGTGTATTTTTTTTATGAAAACATATTAACAGAGTTTTCCTTCTTGTGATATTTGTAAATTTAAGGAAATCATATTTTAAATATTACTCCCTGGTCGACTTATATTAGGTTGCTCAGTTGTAATGCTGTCGCTCGTTATGAATACCCGGTTTCATACCACTTGAGTATAATTTGTGACAACCATTTTTTGAGCTACCTGCTTTTTTAGTATTGCTGTATTAAAGCTAACAATTTTCTTACTTGTTTGGCGGCGGTCGGGTAGCCTAGTGGTTAAACATGTTAAAGCGTTTGCTTGTCACGCCGAAGACCCGGGTTCGATTCCCGACATGGGTAAAAATTGTGAAGCCCATTTCTGGTGTCCCCACGCCGTGATATTGTTGGAATATTGCTAAAAGCGGCGTAAAACCATACTCACTCACTCACTCTTACTTGTTTGGTGGGCGTAGCCCAGAGACATGTTTGGTTCCACTCGTGGGTAGAATGTGTGGTGCCACGTCCTTGCATCCTCCACGTACATAGATGCAGTATTGCTAAATCAGCATAAAACAATACTCACTCATTTACTGCTGGTATCCCTCAATAGGATGTGGGGGTGCACGGGTGGCCCAGTCGTCTAAGGCGCCGCGATTCGCTGTGCAGAGTTGCGTCCCTTGGCCACGCCAGAAACCTATGATTGTGGGTTCGAATCCTGGTTCGCCCCGATTATGTTTCTAGGTTTGTCAGCACCATACCCGTGCTCGTGGGTTTCACCGAAGTGGTAAATGTCTGAGACCTGCATCACTTCGGGCTTTCCTCCCACATTAAGCTGACACGCCGTGATATAACTGGAATACTGTTAAAAGTGGCGTTAAACCCAACTCACTCACTCACTCACTCACTCACTCAATAGGATGTGGCATTTGTGTCTTGAATGGCCTGCCTCTGTGGCCTAGTGGGTAGTGCTTCTGCCCAGGGGCAGGAAGGTCGAGGTTCGATCTCCAACTACATCATACCAAAAGACTTTGAAACGAGTGCATACTCTGTCTGAGTGGGTTATTCATGTTAAAAACATTCCCTTATTAATGTCTTCTCTTTCATGTTTCAGCACGATCCACAATGGCGGCTGAGGCGCCTGACACGTTCGGTGAGATCGTCATTGTGTATGCAGATGATGGCAACGAATGGGCCCTGTTCATCCAGCGTAAACTTACCTCCCCGGAATACAACATCCGAACACATGGTCAGGACTACAGCACTGTGAACATACCTTCTCTCAAAAACTACAAGGTGCAAGTTGTGCTTATCTCCCCTCAACTCCTAGAGGGCGCTGCAAGTAGTCAGTGGGACTTCGCACAGTTCGATAAGTCCAGCACAGTCATGGTTCTACTTGGACTGGATGTTTTGGAAGTAAAAAACATCCTGCAAGCCAAAAGTGAATACATATTCCAATGTAATCACGAGACAATCCACCAGAATGATCCGGGAACGTCACTCCGAAATGCATTGATGGAGATTATCAAAGTGTACGAGCAGGATGAATTCAGTGATGAAGAAGATCCGTTTGATACGGATAGTATATACCAGTATCCTCCATCCCCAAGACAGATCAATCAAATATACAAGATCATTCCTAAAGCGCCAAATTCGGTAAGTGGCAATATTTTCTTTATTCCTTAGCAAAGCCAAGGGGGAACATGGGTGGCTTTGTCTTCTAAGGCATTGGAATTCTCTGTGCAGAGTTGCTTCCCTTAGGTGTGCCAGTAACCTATGATCATGGGTTTGAATATTAGATGATGTTTCTAGATTTGTCAGCACCATCGCCGTGCTGCTGGGTTTCACCAAACTGGTAAACGTCTAGAACTGTATCACTTCAGGCTTTGACCGCCTGCCTTGTCTGCTGGTTAGAGCGTCCGCCTGGAGAGCGGAAGGTCCAGAGTTTGATACCCGGCCGCGTCATACCAAAAGACGTTAAAAGATGGTAATTGTTGTTACCTTGTCTGGCGTTCAGCATTAAGGGGATAAAACAAGGACTGGTTGGCGCGGAGTCACAGATATTTGATACTGACTAGGCAAGCCTTGAAATAGACTGGTTTCTCAGCCATGACTATGGTAAAACTTGAAAGCAGCAGGAATGTTTAGAAATGTTTAGACACTGGAAGTCTCCTATTACTAGCTCTCAGAACTCTTGTCCCTTCACCCAAATTCAATTGGAATAAAAAGTTATCCTAAATTAACGATATTTGGTATTTTATCATATGATTATATCTTTGGTAATGTAACATGGCATCAATGTCAACGAGTCATGCCATTGAGCTTCCAACTTGTGCTGGGGCGGTCGGGTAGCCTAGTGCTTAAAGTGTTCACTCGTCACGCCGAAGACGACGAGTTCGATTCCCGACATGGGTACAATGTGTGAAGCCCATTTCTGGTGTCCCCCGCCGTGATATTGCTGGAATATTGCTAAAAGCGGCGTAAAACCATACTCACTCACTCACTCACTCCAACTTGTGCTTAACACTTGCATTGAGACATGGATGATTGCATTAATTGATTGACCAATCGCCACACAATTACATAATTTCATTTAAGATCACACTTACACGATTGAGAAGGGCAGTTGGGCTCAGAGTCAAATTACCACCAGACCAAAGACTCTGTCCTTATTGTTTTGGCATTATAGAGCATTATTCTCATTCTTTGCCCACAATAAACATTTATTCAATTACAATATTAAACTATACATGTTATTAATAATCCCAGAATATTTAAGTTTGTGTATTTATTAAGAAGTGAGAAATTTTGTCACTAAATCTTTCCAAATGTGTATATTATATCATGAAGGAATGAAACAGACTTGACTTTGATAATTATAATACTCTTGGGCAACTTAGATGTGTTATGGTTTGGGTGAGGGGTTGGTGGTTGGGGATTTGATGTAAGGAATAGTTACCGACTTACTGTGTGCAATGCTGTTTTATGTGTTTATTGTGTTTGGCCTGTGGTCTATGAAATATACTATGACTGGTGTTTTCTTGCCATGAGATTTGCTTCAGCTGTCTTCCTGGTGCACTCAGTATCGCCCTTCACTCATTTGACTCCAGCAACCTGTATTTGCTTAGTTATGACAAGTCATATTCAGGTTTAATATTTATGCAATTGCTTGCAGTCGGCCGCTATGATTCAGGGGTATGAATAGGCGCCTGTATTCCAAGCGTGTCGTCAGATCCCTCTCTGACCTTGCTGATGGCGTGTCATTGTGCCCCAATAGTGTGCATTAGTGCTTAAAATTTGAGTCACCGATGAGATGAGTCCAGACTTGATTAATTACCGACTGCTGTGATGTAGCCGAATTATTGATCATTTTGACATGTAACAACATGCACTCATTCATGCTATCAAAACTTTAAAAAGTAAAAAGTTGTGACATGTATGACAGTTATGTAAAACATTTTGGTCAATTACTGGTTAGTGAAAGAGAAGTTTGGACTAATAAATAAGGGGTTAATGTATGTATCACTAATGCATTTAAATACACATCGGTAGGAGATGTAAGTTTAATTGAAAATTCAAGTGATTAACATGATTAAATGCCCCACTGACTGAAGCCCCATATTCCTGATTTCATTGAACATGTTGAAATCTGCACTGCTTGATTTAAGGAACTTCAGGAACTTAGCACCAGGTGCTTGTTGAAAATGACAACCTAGTTGCACCAGACAAAATCAGGCTGCACCCTTTTCCGCAAAAATTATCAAAGATATAACATAGATGCATAAACTAGTCTAAATAAGTCAAATCCCGGATCCCTGATGACAGTCACGAGTCATGAATTACACTTAACACAGGGATTAGTGATGTAGTATGGTAAATATAGCATTGAGGTATTGATTGTGTTCAAAGATTGCATAATGAGTAATGTAAAATGACTCTGGATGGAACATTGTTGTATCGTGACTGCATGACATTATTTCCTCCTTGTAGTCATCGCCCGAGACACTGATACTCTTGGATCGTCCATCTGATACTGATCTGACTGTGGAGCTACGAACGTCGCCACCGGTCAAGGTCACCGCACAGTTCATTGACAAGGCAGTTTATGCTGTTGATATCCCAGGTAAATAAACTGACAACTTTGGATCAGTTTCCGTTACATGTTACACGTCCATGCATCGACCACCCCTTGGAAGAGTGTTGGGTTATGTTAGTGTGTCACCAGTGGGTTTGGAATATGCACAACATGATAATCAGCAAATCAGCAGCACACACCAGTATGTAAATCCAAGTACCGTATTGTCTTGAGTATAGTGTGCACACATGTGTAATGCGCAACCCCCTCTAGTGGATTCAGTTTTAGTTCAAACTGTGCCAAAACATTTGACTCATCTAGCATGAACCTGTATTTTGGCGCTATTTTCAGTAATTGTCTTTGAAAAAGTGTAAACATCCCTTCTATGACCAATCCATCTAACGGCAATGTATTGGGACATGCTCTCTGATTAGCTGTCGTAGCCAATTGTGCAACATATTGTATGATGTCATGGCCAGTTGCAGTGGCTGCTCAATACGTCAGTGAATTGCTACTGTGTTGTCTTTTGACAGGTTCACAATTTTGATATTTCCATCCCCCTGACTTTTAATAGTATAACTGGTGGGTCACATACTTCTAAGTCTACTGAACAAAAAAGGTAGAAATCATGAATATTTTTGAAGATATTTTTTATGAAATTGTGAACTCACCCTTCACTACCATGACTACAAAACTCTTCCTCAAAAATATTCATGATCCCTGACTGTGTTCATTATATTATGTAAATGGATGCCCAGACCCTCCCCCTACTTACGGGAAGGTCTCCCATTTTTGCATTAAATCATTCTAAGTCACTTGCATTGATTCTTCTTTGCACAGGGTTGTTTGACAGAGTTTCATGCCAAAGTCTTTATCAAATATCTCTGGGTGAATTTGTATTTCAGAGGGAACCAGAGGGACTATACCAGTCAAAGTTTCATGTCGAGATCAAGTGCTAGGTGAAGACCGTGTGAAACTACAGACTAAAATGGACCAATTGTATAGCTTGTTACATGACATTACAAACCCCATGACCCTGATGTGTCAGGCCCTGGGGTTGAACGGTGATAACAATGAGGCATTAGATTCAGCCATGTCACAGCAACTGAAGAAATGGTCCCCTCAGAATATTCAGATGCTGCAGATGTTTGAGGCTAGTGTCACTGGTCAGTATTTATTTTGAGCTGAATATCATCATAGATTCCTTTTAGAAAGGAGAAAGCTGATAGCATCGTTAATTTTGTTTGGGCAGGTGAAGTCTGCTTAAGCTTAATTCACCTGACGTGACCGCCAAGAGTTTTTGTCAGATTGACTGAGAGATGCATGGAATTGTTGTAAAAGATCTTAGTCCAGTTCCACAACAGTATCTCTGCACTAAGGCGATTGTAACGCCCATATTTTAGCATAGACTTACGACAGTCGTAGCGCTAAGATGAGGCCTAGATCTTAATGAGACTGGAACAAACACATTTGTTAATGATTAATATTTAAAAGGACCTTCTGACCTTGACATTGACCCACTGACCTTGACCTTTATTTTAACAGATGAGCGGAGCAGTCATAAGTGGCCAACCATTGCTCACTTTGCAGCAGAGTTCAACTTGGTAAATATGTGCACGGAGTTGCTGCGGTTTCCACACACGTTCATGGTGATGGCTTGCTGCATGGAGAACTGTGATGGCGACTATCCATGTGACATTGCCGAGCGGAAGGGCTTCCAGCATCTTGCTCAACTTCTTACAAGTGTTGTGGAGGAACACAGTAAGTAACCCCAATACTTCCAGATGGGATACTTCACATGCATAATGCTCAATCAGGGCTGACTGGAAAGTGATTTGGCTTTAGTTATGGATAATGTTTGTCACAATACTCAAGTATCATGGTCATTGAAAGTTAAAATAATACTAGTATAACTGCCTTCCTCCTTAATTGTCTGGAAAGTTGCATGACAATCTCATTATTTAAGGACTGACCTCAATATTTTCTGTTTTTAAGGAGGTATAAATGTTAATACTAGAGTCAATAATGTATAAATGCTCGTCCACAATAATTACTTCACAGGCTGCTTATTAAATCATTAACCCACAAAAACCTTTAGACAACCATGTGAAATAAGAGACATCAATCAGTGCAATAATGAAACAAAAGACCCGCCCATTCTGTTATCAACCAATCAAGAAATAGTTATTTGTTAGTGGGCGTGACCTTATTGTTTTTTGGTTTGTAGGAACATAAGTGCAAATAAATTGATTGCTTAACTCATCAAATGCCACAGAATCAATAGCAATGTATTCATTAATTCATATCTACTTAATATTCAGAACAAGGTAGTCCACCCATCTTTACTCTTTCAATCAAACCGTAAATCCTTGCTAAAACGCCTGTCTTGAATAAACAGCAGGTCGTATTTTAGTCTTTGTTTAACAGTTCTTGTTCAGTCATGATATTGTGAGAAAAAACACAAGGCTTTGATGTAAAAATCCCCTAATGAAAGAAATAAATGCTTGCCATGAATAAACGCCCGGTTTCGTGACCTTCCGAAATAAATAAACTGCAGGCGTTTCTATCAGAATTTTACACTCAGATTAAATCGTGCATGAGAATATAAATGTCCTTCTTATAAACAGTAGGAAATAAATGTTTTGCGTCACTTGATTGCACTAAGATGAGGAAATTAATCTGATTTAATCTGATAAAAGTTATTTGATATCATGACTCTTGGAATTTCCAGTATTAAGAACTATTTCTGTCTCCATGTAAGCATTGAATAGTAAATAGAGGTTATGAGGGACAGGTATTTTATGAAGGATGAGGTCAGAAAGCCTCTTACCACGCTTTTTTATCTGGTGACTTAGTGAACATGTTTGTCCTAAGATTATTCTTGATATGCCTTCAGGGAATATGCTTGTCATAAGCGGCGACCAACAGGATCCGATGGTCAGACTTGCTGACTTGGTTGATTTGTTTGTTGTTTAACGCCGCACTCAGCAATATTCCAGCTGTATGACAGCGGTCTGTAAATAATCGGGTCTGGACCAGACAATCTAGTGATTGATATCATGAGCATCGATCCTCGCAATTGGGATACGATGACGTGTATCAACCAAGTCAGCGAACCTGACCACCCGATCCCGTTAGTCGCCTCTTACAACAAGCATAGCCGCCTTTTACGGCAAGCATGGGTTTGATGCATGTCATTGTATCCCAATTGCGTGGATGGATGCCCATGATATCAATCACTGGATTGTCTGGTCCAGATTCGATTATTTACAGATCGCCGTCATATAACTGGAATATTGCTTAGTGCGGCATAAAACAACAAATAAACAAAACAAAAACTGTAAGGATTTTATCATCATAAAACAATTTCTCTTAGATTGTTCACATTCCACCCAAACATCTCACCTCATGGAATTTGTTAATGTAGGGCACAGAGAGTGTCTCCACCTTCACTTCGTCAACAAATACAACTTCAATCCTTAGGTGTGGTTTGTGACTCAGTAACTAATGTTTGTATGAGGAATCTGCGTGAGTCATCCTACATGTCATCTTCCTGAGGCAAGGGAGTTTACTGTCTATTAAAGTCCAGTTTCCAGCCTTGCTGAACCAGGCTGGAATTACTGGGCTCGATCGTAGCGCCACCAGTGGCTATTACGAGTTATGTCCCTTCTTTGTCCCTCCTATTGACCAATCAGATTCCACCTCTCACATCACTTGCATTTGCTTCAAACACAATGGTTGCGCCCAAGATGATCTGATCGATAATCAAAATCTATATTGTGATAAAACGGGTCTTACTTTGCGAAGTGCATCAAATTCCTGTGAGCACATTGATTAAAAACATGAAAAGTTTTGGGAAATATCTGTCGCTGCCGAGTTGGTATCTGTTTGTCAGTTTACAAACCGGATGTCGAATTCCATGTGCCCTTTAATTGGACTACGCATAGACTTGTTCGTCCAGCCAAAGTATAACTCAATAATGCCAGCCTAGTTCAGCAAGGGTGGAAAGAGGACTTTTATAGTCATTTAACTCCCTGGCCTCAGGAAGATGTCTACATGTGTGATAAGTCCACAAGTGCTGTACAGTTCACAACAAATACAAGTATGAAAAGCGAAAATGCATTCTATAGAATTCTTTGTCAACAATTTTTCTAGTGTAGGATATGTTATAAATACCAGCTCTATACTCCTGCTTCCATTCACACAAAACATGTTTTTGTAATGTATTTTCCTGTACTGGTATTATACACACTCCCCAACGCAGTAACAATTCTGTTAGCTTGTTAATATCAGAAAAAGTATGTCTACAAAATTTAACAAATAACTAATATTTTCAATTTATTTTAATAGCACTGTATATTTATAACTTGAGAAAACTAAAACATCTATTGACATTTCAAGTAGTGAATATCAAATACTCCATTGAACTATGCCGCATATGTCATTGAGAAATAAAACATTTCGTTTGAACAATAAGAAATTAATAACATAAAAAACTAAAAAATCCAATGATAGTTAAAGTTGTGAATGTCAAATACTACATTGAACTATGCCAAATATGTTATTGTGATATCAAACAGTTTGTTCAACAACAACAACAGAGCACATACTTCCTGGTCCGTGGACTGCTCACAACTGTTGATGAGCAGGAAAGTTGTCAGTACGCTTATATTTCCTTATTGAATCATGACAGAAGCACACACATAACTTTCCCACTTCCCTGACAAAGTTAAAGTCTTATTGGTTTTCAATTTACCCATTCAGGGTGTCAAGACACGTCATTAATGTAGTCATTGTATGGACAGTAAAGGATGTGAAAAGAAACAATTGTTCATTGAGATTAAATGTAATGTTATTCACAACTCAATGCTATTTTACTGTATCTGTTGTTCAATCCACACCACACAATGCGACATGTTAGATCTCTCTATTAGTACTAAGGGGCGATCGGGTAGCCTAGTGGTTAAAGCGTTCACTCGTCACACCGATACCCAGGTTCGATTCCTGACATGGGTACAATGTGTGAAGCCCATTGCTGGTGTCCCCTGCCGTGATGTTGCTGGAATATTGCTAAAAGCGGCGTAAAACCATACTCACTCACTCACTCACTATTAGGACTATCTAACACACATCACACAATTTCAGATACATTTGGTGTCTGGTAACCATAGAAATAAAAGATGTCTTAATTCTTTCTTTTCACATATTAGTGATTTATGTAGGTAGAAGTTTAAATTAAACAAATCAGTTTGATGTTTTTTCAAGATTCAAGGTTGGTGATATGTTAAATTAGAAAGACTATAGCATCACTGTTATGTATTCAGGAATTGATCACTTTGTGTTTATACCGCTATAAACTTGATTCTTGTTAATATGTAAGGCAACAATAAATTCATAAACTGCTTTTTTAATCATTCACAAAAAATGTAGGCGATACGAAATCACTTATATTAATAATAATAATAGCCCATTTATATGACGCTGTACTCCGTGCATAAGCAATGCTCTAAGCACTTCGACATTTTTTATCCCGGTCAATGAATCAGTGTGCACTCAACAATCATTCTCAGCTCCTTGGGGAGTATACAATATTCCAGGCAAAAATGCAACACAAAGTACTAGACACAGTTCAAAGTAGTCCGCAAGTAGGGATGTCCTAATTTTGTTAGGTTTATGGAAGCATATCATGGTTAGCCAAGGAAATGTCTTGGAGTCATGTGCATTGTTTGTACAAAAGATAAAGACCAGTCCTGGTGACATTGGCTCTACTCGAAGTGGCCCAGTTGTTGCTGCGTTTCCTTCTCTACTGAGTTCGGGGGCATGGGTGGCCCAGTCGTCTAAGGCGCCGCGATTCGCTGTGCAGAGTTTCGTCCCTTTGGCACGCCAGAAACCTATGATTGTGGGTTCGAATCCCGGTTCGCCCCAATTATGTTTCTAGGTTTGTCAGCACCATACCAGTGCTCGTGCGTTTCACCGAAGTGGTAAAGGTCTGAGACCTGTATCACTTCGGGCTTTCCACCCACATTAAGCTGACACGTCTGGAATACTGTTAAAAGCGGCGTTAAACCCAACTCACTCACTCACTCACTACTGAGTTCAAGTCTGCATGTGTCAACCACTTGTGGAACCTACAGCATCCCTGTTGAGGTGTTGCTGCTGTAGGCTTGTATACAGCCCTCTCATCATCATCCCTCCAGTGGCATCATACTATATTTTTCATAAATTCTGCCAATATGATAAAGTGAAAAATATCATGTTGTCAAAAAATATCACCAGCATCTTTCACAGGTTATTTACTTTGCCACCGAATCAGTTTCGTTTACCGTATTTACTAAAAAAAAAGTGGCAAACAAAACTGATTCGGTGGCAAAGTAAATAACCTGTGAAAGATTCCGGGGTAGAATAGATCTTCAGCAACCCATGCTTGCCGTAAAATGCGACTATGCTTGTGGTAAAAGGCGACTAATGGGATCGGGTGGTCAGGCTTGCTGACTTGATGCATGTCATTGTATCCCAATTGCTTTGATCAATGCTCGTCTGGACCAGACAATCCAGTGATAGTGATCATGAGCATCGATCCACGCAATTGGGACACGATGACATGCATCAACCAAGTCAGCAAGCCTGACCACCCGATCCCGTTAGTCGCCTCTTCAGATAAGCATAGTCGCCTTTTTTACGGCAGTTTCTAAAAGGCTGATCATATAATAATAATAATAGTACCAAAAATAAACATTGTGCTTATACCCCAAAATATGTAGAAATACGAAGCAAAGTACTGATTAATCCTACTATTTATTGATTTTCAGAATCTGCTCAACCCAAAAAGCTTCCAAGATACTGATATGTCGATTCTGAACGTTTCTGCCATGTTGGCAACTACTCTGTGTAGATATCTTTGTTGTAAATAACAGTTGATTATTCTCAGGCCACACTTTCATTGTTTTATGTTGATTTTTTGTTGTTGTTTTATTTTTGTTTTGTTTCATGGTTTCACTGTTTTTCATGTTCACAAATTAACTTGGGTGGTCGAAATAACAAGTTTCTGCAGCTCAGTATTTATCAAACATATAATGTTGTTTCGATTTTGTATATTGGGGGAAGTGAATGCCAATTCTGTTTACAGTGCTGTATGTCCTATCTTCAAGTAATGTGGGCGGTCGGGTAGCCTAGTGGTTAAAGCGTTCGCTCGTCAAGCCGAAGACCCAGGTTCGATTCCCGACATGGGTACAATGTGTGAAGCCCATTTCTGGTGTCCACCGTCGTGATATTGCTGGAATAATGCTAAAAGCGGTGTAAAACCATACTCACTCACTCAAGTAACGTATTTGGGCTGTGTGTATTTCCATCTGTTAGTAGAGGACTTGGGTTCTATATCATGTGTTATAGCCAGGGAATATTTGCAGTGCATTTGATGAATTATCATATTAATTATTCTGTTACTTTTGTTTGGTGTCTTTAATAGTGTAATTAATAGTTTAATCCATAAATAATTGAGAGGATGTTTAATTAGAAATGAATTTTTGATATTTCTATTTTCTCTTCTGACTGTGACTTATGGCTCTAGTCTCAAATCTGTATACCACAAAATATAAAAGGGTTGCCTCACTCAAAACAATGGTATTTTTATTAGGACTCACTGTAGGAACCTTGTGTAATGACAATATAATGGTGTTTGGTTAAACTTACTACAAGACATTGTGAACATCCAGGTGACTATTTGTGATATATCAATGCCCATTGTAAAGGTATATGCAGTGGTACAGCAATGCTGAGACCAAAGGCTCCCATCTGCCCCTTCCGCCCCAAACAAGGGACTCAAATCTTCAAGAATATTACACCTTTCATTTCCCATAAAGATTTGGTTAATGTCTTTTCCTTATCTTGGGACCTAGACATCCTCACTTGAGATCTAGACATTCTCACTTGAGATCTAGACATTCTCACTTGAGATCTAGACATTCTCACTTGAGATCTAGACATTCTAGACATTCTCACTTGAGATCTAGACGTTCTCACTTGAGACCTAGACATTCTCACTTGAGACCTAGACATTCTCACTTGAGATCTAGACATTCTCACTTGAGGTCTAGACATTCTTACTTGAGAAGTAGACATTCTCACTTGAGATCTAGACATCCTCACTTGAGATCTAGACATTCTCACTTAAGATCTAGACATTGTCACTTGAGACCTAGACATTCTCATTTGAGACCTAGACATTCTCACTTGAGGCCTAGACAATCTCACTTGAGACGTAGACATTCTCACTTGAGATCTAGTCTAGACATTCTCACTTGAGAGATCTAGACATTCACACTTGAGATCTAGACATTCTGTCTGACCAATCCCAGAATCAAACCTAGCGTGAATGATGGGAATGTGGTCAAAATTAGGCTACCATAACCTCCCTTTACTTCTCACACTGGTAAGGTCAAATCTTTAATTATTTATGTCAGTTTTTGTTAACTACAAGCTTGAAAATGAATACATCTGAGTAGAAAGTATGCAAACTGGCATACCTGTAGCCTTGCTACATCACTGCATGTAAATGTGTTTGCCTTTGCATCTGTTTTGTACAGCTTTCCTAAAAACATTTTCTGCATGAAATGAGTTTTCATTGAAATTTAACATGCATGATTTATTATGATCTAAATATTCACCTCAAGTTCATAATGGTTTAATGATTCATACAATTGCATTGTATATAGCTAGTTGTTAGTGAAACAGTACCATCTCCAGAAAGTTTGGACACTGAAATGGGAGAAGAAAATGTGTTTGTGTTTGTGACTCATACAGGTCACATATACTGCTTTGTGAAAAATGAAGACAGATTTTGGATTGTGTGGTTTAGAAGAAATCTGATTCACAACATCCTGTGAAAAAACACCATCCCTAGCTTAACTGGAACAGATGTTTGGACTAAAACCTCAAGGACATTGTGACTATTATCGTATCCCTATCATCATCATCATCACCGTCATCATCCCATCCTTATTACCCATCATGCATTGCAGACGTGGACAGTGGGATCATGGAACCAGAGTTACCTCCCCCTGCCCCTCATATGAAGGCATTTCACTATATCAACCAAACTCCAGTGGAGGGAGTGTTGGACTTGGAATCGCCATATATGGACATGACTGGTTTACAGAAAGGTGAATACCTGCCATGGATATAGTACAACGAAATGTGAAGTTGAAAGACTTTACTACTTTAAGAAATAGTTAGTTGTTAGGAAATGGCTAGTGTGGCTTCAGTTTTGGATTAGAGCTGATATTATTAACACAATACTTGCCTAAGGGACTGGTCATTTATTATGGCGGGTGGGAGGGGACGAGAGGGGTGGGGTAAAATTGCTCTTAGGCCTGGGTCATGTTTTGCAGACCGCCCCCCTCCCATTTTATGTAACATTTTATGTAATATGTGACCAGTCCCTAAACATGCTAAATAATGTTCAAATTTATAACTTTTATATTTGAAAAATTAGAACTGTGTCATTTTTTCATCCCCCTCTCATCAGCCCCACTTCCCTATAATAAATGACCAGTCCCTAACTATCACAAAATTATTTGTAAAGAATACATTTACCTATTTCAATTATTATTTAAAAAAATATATATTTCAGTCCTCCCAGGAGATAAGCCCTTTCCATGTAAGAAGAGAACAAAATCCAAAGGTAGTTTTCTCTGCACATTTCAAATGTTTTGAACTGTTTAGATCAAATTACTGTGCTGTTCCTTATAAACAATTTTGATTTTCACTTGGTGCTACACAGAGCTACGGTCTGTCCTATAATGATTTGCTCCTAGATCCTAAATCTAAATCTGCACCGCACTTAATATGCTTCAGCAACATGCATGCGTCATTATCTAACACCAAATGAAAAACGAGTCACTCCCTTAGACACTGCCTTGAAATATGAGTACTTACAGTTTATTTTTGCAACTGTATGTTTTCTGACTGAGTTAGAAACCAGACAGTTTGAAATTTTCATGCATACTTCCTTGATTTCAGCCCGACAAGTACGTAGAAAGTTGCATGATCGAAAATATAAGTACATATATTTGAAGTGTTTTGGGAAGCAAATCATGTTGCACTTTCAACCATCACTTTAAGTAATAGGGTCCCTAATATTTTGTTTCCTGAAATAGAAGTCCTGTTTCACAAAGCACTCTTAGTGTTCCGACTCTTCTAACTCCTATGCTTTAGGGCCGTAGGGGTAGCTTTGTGGTTAAAGCTGTTGCTCGACGCACCTAAGACCTGGGTTCGATTCCCCCCAAGGGTGCAGTGTGTAAAGCCGGTTGTGATATTGATGGATTATTGTTGAAAGCGGGGTAAAACCATACTCAGTCACTCCTACTGCGTTAGCATAGACCTATGATAGTCACAGTGCTAATATTGCTTTGTGAAACTGACCTCAGCCCCCATGGATTGGTTTACAGATAAGATGTATATTTTGAGCTACAGCTTGATCAATTCTGTGTTCAAGGCAAACAGGAAGTTAAGAGGTCAGTGTCAGAAGGAGGGAAAAGGCTGTCCTTCATGAACTTAGAATGTAAGTCGGTCGTGTTTTTATTTTGTTGTTTTGTTATTTTGGCTTGATGCATTAGATAAGACAAAGTAGACACAATGTATTGATAACATCTTCAACAACGTTATGGTATATGTCCTTATACTGTTGACTGTCTTGTTTGACAACAGTATAAGGATCTATACCGTAAACATTGCCTTTAAAGTAATAAAAAAACTTGTTATTAATGAATTGTGTCTACTTTGTCATCCGTAAACTTCTAAGTAATACCAATCAAACAATTTAGCGATAAGACTTTTGTTTTTGGTGGGAATGTTTGAAAAATGCAGATCAGGACTCGATTATTTACAGACCGCCGTCATATTGCTGGAATATTGATAAGTGCGGCATCAAACAACAATCTTGACCAATAATAGCATTCATTCATATTTATTGAAATTTCCTCATTTTCTCAAAACTTCCAAGAGGTAATTCATTTATTACTACAAATTCATGTATGATTCTTACTACAGCCTCTTCCAATGGTGAAGACCAAAAATCAGATGCCCCCAAGCCACGTATTCTACGTCCAGCCAGTGAGGGATCAGCAGAAGAGGTGTCCAGTTCTCCTGAAGCCTTGACCGACTTCCTCAGCAGCTTCAAACCTCCTCCATCTCTTCCACACAAGAAAGGCCCTACACCAACTGCTAAACCACAGGTAGCTGCCAAACCTCAACCCTCCCGATCAGCATCTCCGTCACTGTCCTCGTCCTCATCAATGTCCTCATCAACGTCATCTCGCCCTAGCTCTTACGTAAAGCCCCCTCTACCAAAGGGTCTGAAACCCGGGAGTTCGTCCAGTCCTAAGGCTTCAGATGTGGAGTCAAGTCCATCCGAGTCTCCGCAAGCAAGTCCAAGAGAATCTTTCGTGAAAGGTGAAAAGTCGCTCGAGTCCACACCAGACGCATTTGGTGAAGACTCCCAGCTGGTGTCGCAGCTGTATGGGGACATCCTGGCATCGTCTGCCAAATCAGGAAGTGGGACGCAGGGTGTCACACATGATCCCAGGGATTTTGTGTTCTCTGATGATGAAGCATCAGATATCAGGCTGGAAGGATATGAACATCCTAGTGCTCTCATAGGGGATATACACACAGTAAGTCTTATAGTACACTTGTTTCAGATGTTCTTTGATTTGTTGCTGCTATTCAGTGTATCAGTGTTGCTATTCTGTGACTTGTTTCTGCTATATTGGGACTTTTTCTGCTATTCTGTGAATTGTTGCTTTTCCGGGACTTGTTTCTGCTATTCTGGGACTTGTTTTTTGCTATTCTGTGACTTGTTTTTGCTATTCTGGGATTTGTTTCTGCTATTCTGGGACTTGTTTTTGCTATTCTGGCATTTGTTTCTGCTATTCTGGGACTTGTTTCTGCTATTCTGGGACTTGTTTCTGCTATTCTGGGACTTGTTTCTTGCTATTCTGGGACTTGTTTCTGCTATTTTGGGACTTGTTTCTGCTATTTGTTTCTGCTATTCTGGGACTTGTTTCTGCTATTCTGGGATTTGTTTCTGCTATTCTGGGATTTGTTTCTGCTATTCTGGGACTTGTTTCTGCTATTCTGGGTGTTGTTATTCACCTGACTTGTTGCTGCTGATTGCAGACAACTGAGCCAGCCATGAGAGGAAGGACGACCCGAAGTAAGATCTCATCCTTCCTGAAACGTATCGGTATGAAAAAACAGTCCAGTTTGCAAGACCCTCATAGGACGGACAAACAAAATAAGGTAACCATGGAAACATCTCTCCCCATTTTCAGTGTAAATTTGTGTATATAATTTTCAGGTGCTAAAAAACCAGTGAGGTTCCAGGTTAGAATAGGTCTTCAGCCACCCATGCTTGTTGTAAGAAGCGACTTACGGGATTGGGAGGTCAGGCTTGCTGACTTGGTTGATGCATGTCGTCGTATCCAAATTGGATTGATGCTGATGATATCAATCACTGGATTGTCTAGTCCAGACTTGATTATTTAAAGAAGCCATCATATTGCTATAATATTGCTGAGTATGCCGTAAAAAAACAAAAAACAAAAAACATCAGTGCTGAAAACTATAATTCTTTTTGCCATTTGGGTTATAATTTAAAAAGATGCCTTTGAAAAATATGCTTTGTCAAAGTCATGGAGTTTGACCATATTTTGTTGAAATAGGCAACAATATAAAAGAATGTTCATTATAATCTTTTCTAAGCATGTCCTTGTCTGAGGTATTTATTTCCTTTTATTTCATTTTTAGAAAACACGGTTTTACGTGCGTCAGGCTCGTGGCAGCGACCCCGGTTTATCAGGTATTGGTTTTGACAAACTTCAGCTCGGAGCCCCAAAGAGCTACACTGTCCCACGTAACTATGTCAATTTTGTTTTTCTTGTGTGGCAATACAAGCTTTCTGCACTTCTTTGTTCTAACATACGCACACAAGAAATAACCAATTGACGTGTTCTGTGTCTCAGTGGGTCTAAGGCATATATTCTAATGAAGAACATGTTTTTTAGTAGACTTTGTTAATTCTTTCCATGTCGTTGTTTGTGTCAGTTTTTTCTTTTGAATTTTATGTTAACTGTAAATTATGTTGTTTTAAAAAACTAACAAAATTGAAATTTCATTTAAATCTAATATTTTGTGAAAAACAACTAATGAACTAATGTTCTGGTACTAAAATCATCCCCTTTCTGTGATTTGAAATTTTGAAAGAAATTATAATAGACGAAATGAGATCCTACAGGTTTTGCTTTCATAGGACATTCCGGGATTATTTGATGCTGTTGAAATCAATATGGTATCTTCGTGTAGTGCTGATTAGGCGTGGAATGAGATCAGAACTTGACCAAAGCTGGAACTGCTGTCAACTCAAGCGCCTGTAGAAAGTTTGCACTACATCTCTGTCCTACACTCAATATCCTTAGCATTAACAATAACACCTAGCAAACCCTTCCCCCTTGCACATCTGTAGTTTATAATTATATAGTCTCATACATGAAGGTAGTATTATGCTGATGTAGCGGCCATAAAATTTCCAAGTCACGTGATGGAATTCGAACCACGGACCATCTGATCAGAGGTCGGAGGCCTTGTCCGATGTAGCGGCCATAAAATTTCCAAGTCATGTGGGGCGGTCGGGTAGCCTAGTGGTTAAAGCGTTCGCTCGTCACGCCGAAGACCCTGGGTTCGATTCCTGACATGGGTACAATGTGTAAAGCCCATTTCTGGTGTCCCCCGCCGTGATATTGCTGGAATATTGCTAAAAGCGGCGTAAAACCATATTCACTCACTCACTCACTCCAAGTCATGTGATGGAATTCGAACCACGGACCATCTGATCCGAGGTTGGACACCTTGTCCACATGCCCAAAGAGGTTAACCCCGTCAGCAAGCTGACAAGGTAAGGATGTCATCTATGGGATGACTCCACGTCCTGCTACATACTACCCTGTCAACAGAAGGCACGTCCCGAGCCGCATAGTAGGGTACTGAGACTTATTTTGTTCAAATTTAATATGAGCGTGCTCAGGCCCACGTTGGGCGCCAATGTAGCGGCCATAAAAATTCCGAGTCCCATGATGGGATTTGAACCACAGACCATCTGATCACTCTCTCTCTCACTCACTCACTCACTCACTCACTCACTCACTCACATATCATAGAAATAGAAATGTCTATCCTAATTGAAAGTTGAGTAGTATGTTTAAATTGGTTTGACGAATTGGTTATCAGCAGAAACAGGCTCAAAGTACCAACTATGCAACTATGATCGGTCTCCATCTCCCATGATTCATTACCTTGAGATTTGGTATTCTCATAGTTTCCAAGCCTTAATATCAAATAAAACAAAACTGGGGTGTCAGAATTGGTTTTTCTCACAAAACAAATATAAAATACTTTATGGGAGGTGCGCCACCAGGGTATGAAGACGATAAAAAATTAAAGGTCCCACATTTTCTACCTTTATGATGACCTCATGCTATTGGTGTTGTAGTCACTGGTCATTCAGAACATGCATTTTAACGAATGAAACTGATGCAACTATAACTCAAAATGCCAGATTTAAAAAAGTTATATATCAACCCAAACACGATTTAATTGCGAGTAATCACTCAAATCTCTTGATTGCAGAAAAGGCGGGGACAGTAAGGCAAGGTTGTTGTATTAATGGGGTCTCAGATTAATATACCTTCAGTGGTGTTTGCAGAGTACAGTAGAAGTCAAGGAAGTGAACCATGATAAAGATATTTCATGCGGATTTTACGTTTGTCCTGAACATCCGATGTTTAATGGTCTTGGAAACAAATATATTTTGACACCAGATTAATTTGAGCAATGTGTACCATCATATTATATTATTATTCAGACACTGACACATATTTATTAAGGATAGTGCTTTCATAATCACAGTAATCCTGCTTTTAGTTTTTTAACTTTGATTGAGCAATAGATAAGCTTCTTTTCTCATGGGGCGGTCGGGTAGCCTGGTGGTTAAAGCGTTCGTTCATCATGCTGAAGACCCAGGTTCGATTCCCCACATGGGTACAATGTGTGAAGCCCATTTCTGGTGTCCTCAGCCATGATATTACTGGAATATTGCTAAAAGCGGTGTATAACCATACTCACCCACTCACTCGCTCATGTTATTTCTTGCTACATTTTGCTCTTGTATACACATCAAATCATTTTTTCCGATACATTGTGATATTAAACCTTGATCAATGGTACATACAAGATATGTATTGCTATGGTAAAGTATAGATATGTGTCGTTAATAACTATCTGGTATTGTTTGTTACATGACATCAGATGATCTACCAGCATTGCTAAGATGTATTTTCCTTTTATGATATGTAATCCTTTGTTAAATGTGCTCATGTATTGATGTCATCCTAATATTACTCATAAATATAATTTGGAAGGATCCCAAATAACCTTTTGGTTCTTTAGTAACGTCACGGATAAATTCTACTCAGAAATGAGAATACATTTTACACTGAAATATATGTTTGGCCATATATTTTTTTAAGTTGGTTTACGATAACGACCAACAAAAACAACAGAAAAATGACTTTTGACTATTTTGGGTAAGCCAACTCTGTTTTACAATTAGGTGAAATGAAAAAACACATGAAAAACACTTCGTAAGAAATAGTGAATACTATGTATAAAAATCTTTATTCTAATAAAATAAAAACCAATCAAGTATATTTGAGTATTTTGTCACATTAAGACATGTTTGTTATTTTCATGCATCAGTAGCATTTCTTATCTGGATGTAGAAAATTATGTGTATTTTTTTCTGACCAATTACACTGAATTTTAGGCACAAAAGAACCCCAAACAACTGATAAAAAACTAAAAGGCCTCAGGGTGAAAATATAGTGCCAGTACTACTGGGATTTCGGTGTGTAGGACAGACAGCCTTACTAAAGTGTAGAATATTTCTCAGGATGTCGTCATGCAGCAGTTTCCTTGTTTGTGACATCAGTAAATGTAGATGTTGATTTTCAGGTAAGATGTCACTGCCAGCGGTGTTAGAACCCACAGAGGCCCGGGACAGTGGAAGCTACAGTGAAGAAGAGGATGGCTCCACTGATGCTGAGAAAATAGTAAGTGCATCCTCTTGATTCAGGGGTTTATTATGAAATTCTTGATTAAGGTGGTTGGAAATTTTAGTTTTTGATTTGATATTAGTTCACTGATCTGATTGGTTTTGCAAAGACATTAAGTGGATGGATTTGATGAAAAAATTGAGTTATATTATTAGAGGCACTAGGTTATTTTTAGTTAATGTCTTTGAATATTGCAGAGCTAATTATATGAAACGTTCCTTTTGCAGTCGTACAGAAGGAAGTCGGGTAAACAACCCTTGTCTCAAAAGTCTAGGCAGTCACTGGTAAGTAAACAATCCTTGTCTCACACGTCTAGGCACTCACTGGTAAGTAGCGCGGTCGGGTAGCCTAGTGGTTAAAGCGTTCCCTCGTCACGTCGAAGACCCGGGTTCGATTCCCGACATGGGTACAACGTGTGAAGCCCATTTCTGGTGTCCCCCGCCGTGATATTGCTGGAACATTGCTAAAAGCGGCGTAAAATCAAACTCACTCACTCACTGGTATGTAAACAATCCTTGTTTCACAAGTCTAGGCAGTCACTGGTAAGTAAACAATCCTTGTCTCACAAGTCTAGGCAGTCACTGGTAAGTAAACAATCCTTGTCTCACAAGTCTAGGCAGTCACTGGTAAGTAAACAATCCTTGTCTCACAAGTCTAGGCAGTCACTGGTAAGTAAACAATCCTTGTCTCACAAGTCCAGGCAGTCACTGGTAAGTAAACAATCCTTGTCTCACAAGTCTAGGCAGTCACTGGTAGGGGGCACAGCTCGCCCTGTCGTCTAAGGCCCCACAATTTTGCTCTGCAGAGTTGCATCCCTTAAGCACGACAGAAACCTATGATTGTGGGTTTGAATCCTGATTCACCACGATTATGTTTCTAGGTTTGTCGGCACCTTCCCCGTGCTCGTGGGTTTCACCAAAGTGATAAACGTCTTGAGACCTGCATCACTTCAGGCTTTCCTCTCACATTAAGCTGACACGCCGTGATTTAACTGGAATACTATTACAAATGGCGTTGAACCCAACACAATTACAAACTCTCTCATGACCTTGCCCTGTGGTTTGTGGGTTCAAGGAAGGTCACCTTGAAAGGTGTGGTTTGTGGGTCAAGGTCGGTCACCTTCTGAGGTCACCTTTCTTCTTTTGGAATTGTTATTCATCTTCTTAGACTTTGATTATGGAATCACCACTAGTTCATCTTGCATAAACTCAGAAATAATGTCTTATATATACTAATTATATGACATTGCTTGTAGTTTGTTTGGTGGTGTACATCTTCCTGAGGCAAGGGAGTTAACTGACTACAAAAATCCAGTTTCCACCCTTGCTGAACTAGGCTGGTATTATGGAGTTAGAGTTTGGCTGGACTAACAAGTCTATGCATAGTCCAATCAAAATCGCGCAACGAAATCGAAATCCGGTTCGTAAACTGTCATGCAGATTTTAGTCGATTGCAGGATTTGCATTTCATGTGCACCGCCAACTCGTTGTCAACAGATATTTTCCTAATCTTTTCATGTTTTTAATGAAGGTGCTCACATGATTTGATGCACTTCACGATGTAAGACCCGTTTTATTACAATATAGATATTGATTATCAATCAGATCGTCTTGACTGGGCGCCACTATTTTGTTTGAAGCAAATGCAAGTCATACGAGAGGTAGAATCTGATTGGTCCATAGGAGAGGCATAGAAGGGACATAACTCATAATAGCCACTGGTGGCGCCACGGTCGAGCCCAGGAATTCTAGTTTTTGGCAAGGGAGGAAACTAGACTTTTTAAAGTCAGTTAACTCTCTTGCTTCGGGAAGATGGGTGGTGTTGTGTTTTCTGTGGATCAACGTCACTTCAACATAGACTGGCTATGATGTCACATCATTTTACGTTAACAATGTAATCACAAAAGGTCATAACTATACAGAGGCTTCACATTGATTCTTATTTATAAAAATATTTTTTACTTTGTAGGAGAGGAGAAAGTCAGTCCGTCTTTCACGTGCAATGAACGAAAACATCAGTGATGCTCCCAGCATGCCTCAGCAGCAAAAGGCAGGGAGATTTCGTAACATCCTGTCCTCGGCCCCTTCATAGACACACCACATTTCCTGCCATGCAAAAGAAAACAACTTGCCTTATTCTCACACAGTAGAAGACCCTCCATGTTGACAGCGCTCTACATATATACTGCATATATCCTCACCGTGCTCACCGAAGACAATCTAGTTAGTTTTATACACAGCTTTAGATCTCATAACATAGATGTGAATGCATATTTTGTAGCATGTAAAAAGTCATATTTTCTTTGCAAGCAAAGCTTGGATACACAAACAGGGTGTCGTTTTACAAAGCGATCTTAGCACCAGGGTGATCGTAACTCCCATACCAAAACATAGACTTATGACAGTCGTAGCGCTAACGGCACCCAGATCTTAGTGCTGTTGATACGCTTTGTCCATGCTAAAGTACTGGAGTTACGGAAGTTGTTCGGCTAAGATCGCTTTATGGAACGAGACTCGTGGAGCTTAACATGTCGGAACAGGTTTGAGAGGCATCTAATGCAAAGTTTTCTAGTTGGAATGAAAGTTTGTTTTGGTTTGTTAGTTGCTATGGAGATCTTAGTGCTCTCTCCACGCTAAGTCCATGTTAAAGTTATGAGTTATGATGTCGTTGGGCTAAGATCGCTTTGTGTACCATGAATAACAAGCTCAACATGTTGGGACATGTTTGAGAAGCATCTGATGCGTATTTTAAAAAAAAAATTGTGTATGGTTAAAAGGGAAGTTGTTTTGGTTTCTTAGTTGCTATGGTGATGCAGATTGAACAACATGTTTTGTTGTTTTTGTTGTTGTTTATTGTGCGTTGTGCCCATATTTGGGTAAGCTCATATTACACATCAAGAATCAGGCTGGTATCAATGCAATATTATATTTATGAACCATATTCATCTCAAGTTTGTATAAATGATTGTACATAAAGAATGACAAGGTTGAATCCGTGTTGAATGAGGAACAAGTCCTTTTAATATTGAATGCATTGAATATTATTAATCATGAATTGTCACACTGTGATGAATTATGAAAAAGAAAACGCTTTTGTGCAGTATTTTAAGATTTGAAATCTTTTGTACATATACCATTATTTTCACATACCATTTTCACGATATGTGTTTTTCGTCTCCTTGTACGTGTCTAATGTGCTGTAGTTAGCTTACAGAGTTGCGTCCCTTAGGCGCGACAGAGTCACCTATTGTCATGGGTTTGAATCCCAGATTCGTTGATCTATGCATCTGTGTCTGTCAGCCCTGTATCCACTTGTTCCCCAAAGTGGTAAACGTTTAACACCTGCAACATTTTGGACTTTCCTCCCAGAAACAAGCTGACACGCAGTGATATATCTGAAGTACTTTTCAAAGTGACGTCAAACCAAACTCATTCACTATCCACATACAGTTGGGTGGTCAGAATGTTTCATGTCCTGTTGACGTGTATTTCAGTTACATGAGGGGCCCAAGTGGCCCTGTCGTCTAAGATGCCGCAGTGCAGAGTTGTGACCCTTAGCAGTGACAGGATTCACTGATCAGAGGTGCAAATTTCAGATCTGCCTTCAGCAAATACCTTTATGTTAACCCATATAACTGGACATACAATCAGAAAATCATATTTCTTTGACTGACCTTGAACTCACAAACCACACCTCAGAGGGTCATGAGTGAAATATTCCAGCATGTCAGCTTGATGTGGGAGGAATCCCCGAAGTGATGCAGGTCTCAGACATTTACCACATTGTTGAAACCCGGGTATGGTGCTGACAAACCTAGAAACATGATCGGGGCAAACCGGGATTCGAATCCACAACTAAGGTTTCTGGCGTGCCAAGGGACGTTACTCTGCACAGCGAGTTGGTCTGGAAGGGCACGAGGGTAGCAGAGTGGACAGTTGGCTAACACTTCAGTCAAAGACTGGGTTTAAGTCTCACATGGGTACTCAAAACAAGTTGTTTGTGAAGCTATATATAGACGACCTGAGAGCTCATAGTGATTACCATCGATCAAAATGTGTGCAATTATTTTTGTTACAATTTATTTGTATTCAGTTCGTGTCAAACACCATGATGTAAATATGTACATACTGCTCTCTGTGGCGTAGTGTTGATATTGTTGGAAGATATCTTGTTCCTGCTTCAGCGTTGTGTACTATTGATATAGCATAACAAAACCTTGTTATAAAGCTTGTCATTGCTGCAGTCAGATAGACTCACAAAAGCTCAATAAACATATCATTGTATGTAGTTTTGTTATGTGGTTGAAAAGAAAATGATAAAACCATTCTATCTGGTATTACATTCCATTTGATATTATATTTTGATAAAACACAAAGGATTCATTTGGCAATATGTTTATGCTCATTATGAAGTAAGTGTTTTGGGGTAGGGTGGATGTATTTAGAAAAGGCCTTAATTTACTTTTATCTGTAACATTTCACTAATTGAAGTGCCTTTGCATGTGTTTGCGAGGGATGCTACCGGTGGGGCGGTAGACGCTCTCCTTTTCACTAACACCTCTATCATCTCTTATTGATACTGATTCATAAACACATGCTTTTGATATAGTTAGCGTCATAGAATAGACTCTGCTTTTATACGAAATTTCTTATGAATATGGAAAGGGTTTTGTTGCTTATATTTTCAAGAAATTGTTTCAAAGTCAGCGCGGAAGTGATGCTTGTGCCCTTTTAATTCACCATAACTTTTGCTGCTGCTATGCAAAGAAACTGAAACAATATGTTTTCAATAAAATGTAAAGTACTGGTAAATGTCTGTAGTTGCACTCACAACAAGTGAACAACCCACACCTATTGTTGGTACCATTGTCTACTTAGAATATTTTTATTCCATTATTTCGGCTGTTTCTATGGTAACCAGTTAGTAAATGTCAAATATACAAGATAATAATTGACTCCGTGTTATTCTATATATCGTCCGATTGTAATTTTATATTTCACCATAATTTCATTTTGAATTGGTAAAGTACCAGCATCTGAAGACACTATCGTTTTCTTTTAGCCATCAACTAATTTAATTAATTTTACAATAAAATTTCTCCTTTTACAAATCATTATTAATTAACACCATGCAGTGATCACTGTTTTCGATGGTAGATCTTTAGCTGTGACTAGTGCCATGAATCTTTGAGCGAATACAAAGATTTGGTCAACTTCATCACAATTGTTACTCATCCCGTCACCAATGGCTCTTTATTACTAGAGCAAAAGTTCAAGGAAAGTAGGATATTTATTACAGTAAGGAAAGATTAATGCCCCACTCAGCTCCTTCCTTCACTGATGCGTGAGTCACGTGTGCTGGGTTTCAGTTGAACGGAAAGAACAATAGCAGTCGTGGGACTGGCGCTGTATGATTATCATTATTATTATTAGCTTTAACCTATTTCCCTTCCTTGAAGTCCAAATAGTTAGACAGGTAGTATAAACATTGACTATAGCTTTTTATTTAATTCCTTGTGCCATTTTGAAAATATTCTAATTTTATAGGATAGTTTATAGGAATTTCCTTTCAATGAGGATAAATTGACTTCCACTGTTCAATATTTCCTCACTTAATGAATCAGGATCTTGTATTGGGGAAGTGTGAATTTATCAAATCCAAGATGATGCAAGATGATGTGTTGCAGTTCAGACATGGTTCATAAAAGGATGGGAATTCAGTAAAATTAAAATCAGATGTTTTGTGATAAAACAACTCCTTGTGTGAAGATCTGACAAATCCTGAGGAATGAGGTGACACTGTGGTAACAATGTTGGCTCCACTGGAGCCTATGAGGTGACACTGTGGTAACAATTTTTGGTTAACTGTTACATTGTTGGTTAACTGTTACATTGTTAACTGTTACATTGTGGTTAACTGTTACATTGTTGGTTAACTGTTACATCGTTTGTTAACTGTTACATTGGTGGTTAACTGTTACATTGGTGGTTAACTGTTACATTGGTGGTTAACTGTTACAATGTTAACTGTAACATTGGTGGTTAACTGTTACATTGGTGGTTAACTGTTACATTGGTGGTTAACTGTTACATTGTTTCCTGTTACATTGGTGGTTAACTTTTACATTGTTGGAATGTATTTTGTTCGTCTGTGATAGTGAGTAAACGTCTTTTTGATGAAATGCCAGATCTCTTTCATTCTTTTGGGGTGTTCTTTGTGAAAAAGAGAGTAAAATATGTTGACCGAGTTGAAATGAAGTAGAAGGCAGACCCCTTCTTTCTTATATTGCGTTTTGCAATGGGTATATAATGAAGGTGTCACTATTGACCAACTTCACAAACCAGTTATTACAAGTTCTTGCAGTTTTCTTGCAGCAAAAGCATCTAAAGGGATTTATCATATTGTTTCATGCAGAGTAAGATATTGATATGTTCATGTTAATAAAGGTGCTGTGCAGAGTTGTGTCCTATAAGTGTGCCGGACACCTGTGATCATGGTTCAAATCCCACACTCCTCCTGATTAAGTTACTAGGTATGTCAGCATCGTTACCGTGCTCATAGGTTTCCCCTAAGTGATAAACATCTGAGACACTGAGGCATCACTTCAGGCTTTCCTCCCACATCAAGCTGACATACATTGATATAACTGGACTAATGTTCAAAGTGGCATTAAGCCAAACTTACATACTCCGAATACCGAGAATTTGTCACAATACTGTCATTTGATGGGCTGCTTGTTTGAAAAAGAATGGTAATATCACTTACCATGAACGGTTGCTTCTAATGATAGTTAAGGACAACACAAAGATTGAGTTATGTTGAGTCTCTAACTATTGTACTGTATAGATAATCACTGATATTACATATCATCCCATCCCAGACCATCATTTGTCTGCTTGTCAACATGGTTCAATGTCTTCACAAGACCATCCCAAACAGGCTGTGCGGTTTTGAGCAGTAAATAGTATGTGTTGCTTTTATTGCTTGATGTGATTTGTTAACTAAATGGGACGCATGCAATTTGAGAAGCTACAGTTTCATGGGTTGGACCGTGGATGTAAAATCGGAGCTGGGAATGTGATGTAACTTTTTTTAGACGAGACCGATTTGATTTCTTGTTTTGTGCAAGTTCTTTGTCAGGGGAGTGTTTTTTCAGAATCATTGCCTTCATTCAACGATAGATCACCAAATCTTGAATTTATTTCTGTAACTATGATATATATTATTTGTTTTCGTTAAATGAAGAGTATTTTGTTGATCAGATGAAACTGAAGCTGCACAGTGGCGATAGCATGAATACTTAATCCTACTTAAACAAAATGTTTAATCATCTCGCATGAACTCATGCAACCAATTTTTCCCGCTTACTGGCAAAAAAAATGATCCTTACTCAGACTATTATCAGAATGATTTAAAACAGTAAAAGTTCAGTGCATTAGGCCAGACTTTTAAGAAAATTTGTTTGTGAATATGTTAACTCAAAAAGAAAAATGTTAAATAACCACCTCATATACTGTCGCTATCAATATGAATACATTTTTTAAAATACTATTATAAAATATAAAGTAACAGACATTCATATTTTCCGAAATTTGTTTTCTTGACATTCTGAGGAAATAAAAAAATAAAAGTTTGATTTTTAAATAATTATTTTTTTCATACCAACCTATTTGTAAACCCTACCCCACAAAAAGTCAGGCCTTAGCTTGCCCGGGGTCTGGTCATTGAACCCTGACAAAGTACAAATGACCCTCACTAATTGTAGTGTATATGGACTTAAATTTTCACCATGAACAAGGTTATCTTTTACATGTAGCTTCCAGTGCAATGGAGGGTAGCCTAGTTGCTTAAGCGTTCACTTGTCATGCCTAAGACCCGTGTTCGATTCTCAACATGGGTACAATGTGTGAAGCCCATTTCTGGTGTTCCCTGCCATGATATTACTGGAATATTGCTAAAAGCGGTGTAATCCATACTCTCTCTGCTCAATCCAGTGCAATGGTTTAGTTATTTGATGTTGTTTGTATGCTTCTCAGCTGTGTATTCCAAACAGTAGCCGATGAAAGGCTGGGAGATATGTGCCTTGTTGATATCAGCTTTAGTCGAGCTGAATGTTTGCCCTATCATTTTAGATCATTACATGCAAGCTGTATAGTTTATATTAAAACAATGCATTTTTATTAAATTTATACAGAAGTATTTAAAGGAATCATAATTCAGCGTTGTACCAATATCAAGAGACAAGAGTCATTAAATACAAGATATTTTCCATGAATCAAGATTTTATGCATGTCTGTAAATACTTGTTGAGTTGACTGTAACTTGTATGTAAGATATATAGGTATACCTACAGCTGTGTGTTGGAGACACCAGGGCTGTCAAATGACAGTTGTGGCAGATCTGAGGGTGGCTCAGTGGTTAAAGCGTTTGCTTGTGACACCTGTTCTGGTGTGATACCCTAGAATCATAGTACATAGTTCTTTCTTGTGGTCAGATGCCACGATTCTGCTTCAATATTGCTCAAAGCATTAACTCACTCACTGATGGTAGTGGTCTGGCAGTGCTGGGGTAGCTTCAGACCCGACTCTGGTCTGATGCTGCTGATGGTCAATCTGTTTGGTCTGCCCTTTCTTTTGTCATAAAGGACCTTATCACAATAATGGAAATGCCTTGTGGGGAATAAAGTGAGGAGTCTAGTTAATCTAATTCCTCCTGTCACATGACACGATACTGCTTCTTCATAACTGGGGGGCATGGGTGGCCCAGTCGTCTAAGGCGCTGCGATTCGCTATGCAGAGTTGGGCACGCCAGAAACCTATGATTGTGGGTTCCAATCCCGGTTCGACCCGATTATGTTTCTAGGTTTGTCAGCACCATACCCGTGCTCGTGGGTTTCACCGAAGTGGTAAATGTCTGAAACCTGCATCACTTCGGGCTTTCCTCCCACATTAAGCTGACACGCCGCGATATGACTGGAATACTGTTAAAAGCGGCGTTAAACACAACTCACTCACTCACTCACTCACTCACTCACTCACTCACTCACTCACTCACTCACTCACTCACTCACTCACTCACTCACTCACTCACTCACTCTTCATAACTGACTGACAAAAATACGGCAGTTTTGCCCAGTTTTATTAGCATTAATCATTTGGGGATTCCAGGTAAGAAAAGGTCCCTGTGCTCGTCATTAAAGGCAACTTAATGGAACAAGTGGTCAGGCTTGATGACTTGGCTAATAACATGTCATCATATCCTGTCCATTGGTTACAATGTCAATCACTGGATTGTATGGTTCAGACATGATTATTTACAGGCTGCTTTCATGTTCAACATGCATAGAGTTCTAGGGACCTATTCTTTCAGGCTTACATTTAAAGCTGGTGTCATATCACACAGAAAACTGGAATAGTTTGAGGAAAGTTTACAAATTATTTAGAGGCAATGTTTTAATTTCGTCTCTCAGTGAGTGAGTTAATGTCTATAAAATTTTATATACATTGAAGTTTTTTGGCTCTATGCAGAATTTTAAAGTATATTTATGTGAGAGTGCTGATGAAATGTGTGTTTTATGTATGATACTTCCTTGCTTTTTGTGTGTGCTGTCCTGTTTTGTTGTAATATATACTCTTTCAACCTCCACATGTGAATAGTGCTTGAGAAATTATGAAATAATATTCCTTGTTTTACTGAGATGAACTATTATTTTTATGAAATAAACTCATGAAATATTACTTTGGTTGTTGATCGTTTTGCATTGTCCTGACAGTTTGTTTTCTACTAACATCTGTTTTCACCATGGTTTTGTTCTGTAGCCAACAGTTACATGTATATGAATTACAAGTCAAGACTCTCTTTCGGGGAATATATGGCAGTCATCAATGGTGCCACAATTCACCGTGCAGACTTGCATGCCTCACTCACTCACTCACTCATAAGCATTTACTATGGTGGGCAATGGGTCAAGGGAGTTTATGGGCATAACTGTGTCCTCCAACACATGAGATGGGCATCACACTGTGCTCCATCAACACATGAGATGGGCATCACAATGTCCTCCACACGAGATGGGCATCACAATGTCCTCCAACACATGAGATGGCTTCAGCATGTCCTCCCTCAACACACGCGATGGGCATCAGTGTCCTCCAATAACACATGAGATGGGCATCACAATGTCCTCCAACACATGAGATGGGCATCACAATGTCCTCCAACACATGATATGGGCATCAGTGTCCTCCAATAACACATGAGATCGGCATCACAATGTCCTCGAACACACGAGATGGGCATCAAGTGTCCTCCAATAACACATGAGATCGGCATCCCAATGTCCTCCATCAACACATGAGATGGGCATCACAATGTCCTCCTCACGAGATGGGCATCACAATGTCCTCCAACACATGAGATGGCTTCAGCATGTCCTCCATCAACACACGAGATGGGCATCACAATGTCCTCCAACACATGAGATGGGCATCAGTGTCCTCAAATAACACAGGAGATCGGCATCACAATGTCCTCCAACACATGAGATGGGCATCACAATGTCCTCGAACACATGAGATGGCTTCAGCACGTCCTCCATCAACACACGAGATGGGCATCACAGTGTCCTCCATCAACACACGAGATGGGCATCACAATGTCCTCCAACACACGAGATGGGCATCACAGTGTCCTCCATCAACACACGAGATGGGCATCACAATGTCCTCCAACACACGAGATGGGCATCACAATGTCCTCCATCAACACACGAGATGGGCATCACAATGTCCTCCAACACACGAGATGGGCATCACAATGTCCTCCACACGAGATGGGCATCACAATGTCCTGCATCAACACACGAGATGGGCGTCACAATGTCCTCCCAACACACGAGATGGGCATCACAATGTCCTCCAACACATGAGATGGGCATCATCCTCCAACACATGAGATGGGCATCACAATATCCTCCATTAACACATTAGATAGGCATCACATAATCTGCAGAGAAGCTCAACATTTGAAATATCACCAAAAATGTTCAGTCTGCAAATGAATAGAGCTTAAATTACAGAACAGAGCAGAACAGAACAGAATTTATTTCGTATAGTCTGGCCATGAGGTCAATAGTACAGATCATTGGATAATATTGACATATTGTGACAGAGCGCTTCAGTTTATATTGGCTTTGGAATTTCTATGTTTGAACATTTTTTCAATATAAAAAGTTAGCTGAAATAAAATGTTGTCGTTTGTTGTGAGTAACAATGCAAACTAGTGCACGGTGGGATATTGATAATAATACGAGGGCAAATACCTTATCCTTAAGTTTGTATAAACTGGACATATAAATATTGCATGGTATTCATCATCTAAGTCTTCTTTACAGAAATTGCATTGACTGTCAGCAAAGTCAGGGTCACTAGACATTCAATATTTATGTATTTTAAAATCATTTGAACAACATCTGAATTTTGTTAAAGATCTTAAATTTACAGTCTTAATCGATGATATATATTTTTCAGGTTGTAATAAGGATTTGTAAGTGCTATATCAATCTAGCCTTGGTGAATTAGATATACAGTCTGACCATTCTTGCATAAACAAATCTCTTGTTCTTTCCTTGAATGTATAAATTAAAACACCAGAGTCTCCGACATCTTGCATCGACCATACATTACCAAGCCATAACTAAACAATGTGTATCTTACAAATGAAACCCATTTTTTATAATCTAATTCTTAAAATTTACATAGCATGAAATAGCAATGCTTTGGATATTTACACAGAGGTATTCTTAATAGTTTAATCCAATACTTAACTATTCTCACAACACCATGTTCATACATTCTCGTTCTTCCAAGTTCACCTAATACAGCAGCATTTTCAAAGTATTTTTTACAAAACTTAGTATAATTTCAATGCTTTTTCTTACTTCTGTACACCATATTTCCGCGCCATATAGCAAAATAGGTAACATTTTAAATCAAATATTTTAAAGTATGTATCAACGTTTACGTCTGGATATTTTACCATCATTCTTTTAATTAGTACTAGAGCCTTGTTTGCCTGTTTAGCTAAAGAAACACGTGCTTGAGTAAACATATTTCTACATGAAATTAGAATACCAAGATATTTATAGTATGACACCACTTCAAACTGTTCACCATTAATAAACCATTTTTCATGTTGTGATATAGGCCCTCCATTTTTAAATATCATAACTTTACTCTTATGAATGTTTACTGTTAGTCCCCATTTATAGCAGTATGTTTCTAAACTAGTTATTTTGTTTTGCAGATTTATAATAGAATCAACAAGTATGGACACATCATGTGCAAATAAATGCCAAAATATTT